CGGCCCCGGCTGCCGTGAACTTCCTGCCGCGGCCCCGCCGCCCGTGCGCCCCGGATCGCGCTCCCTCCCCGCGCCGGCCAGGATCACAGCTCCGGGGCCCGAGGAAGCAGCGGGAGGACCGAACGCCCGGGACGTGCCTGCGCCCCCGGCCGGCCGCGCCGGCTCCACCCGCCCCAGGCCAGCAGCTGCCGCCTTGGTGGGGGGTTCCGAGTTTGGTTGCTTCAGGAGGATGTAATTTTTCTTTTCTTTTTTGCCTCTTTTAACTTTTATGATTTGAAAAAGAGAAAAGAACTCCGCAGAGCAGGCCGGGGATAGCGAAGCACCAGCAGCTGCCCCCACGTGGACACCCGGAGAGGAAAGGGAGTGAGAAGCAAACTTGACTCAGCTGGCCTTGAGGCTCAACTTCTGCTGGACTCTAAGTCCCGGGGTAATGACCCTCACGCTGGGCAGGTGGAAGTCTTTACCTGTCCTGAGTGGGACTTGAGCCCCTGCCTTTCCCAGTATCTCCCCCCCCCCCCCCCCCCCCCCCCCCCCCCCCCCCCCCCCCCCCCCCCCCCCCCCCCTGGGCCTGGAAGCCAGTAAATTCATTGAGGACCTGAACATGTACGAGGCCTCTAAGGATGGGCTCTTCCGAGTGGACAAGGGTGCAGGCAATAACCCTGAATTTGAGGAAACACGCAGGGTGTTCGCCACCAAGATGGCTAAAATCCACCTCCAGCAGCAGCAACAGCTCCTGCAGGAGGAGACCCTGCCCAGGGGGAGCAGAGGCCCTACCAACGGTGGGGGCCGCCTGGGCCCACAGCCTCACCGGGAAGCTGGTGTGGGCAGCAAGCTGACCATGGATGGTGCTGCCAAGCCCCCTCTTGCTGCCTTGACAGTGGCACCTGGGGCAGCCACTGCCATCACTGCTGGACAGCCCTCGTACCCACCGCAGGAGCAGAGGGCCAGGCCATATGTCCATGGCACAAAGCAGGACTGTGGTTCCAGGGAGATCCCAGCGAGTTCTGAGATGTCTGCTTTCCACCAGCCGGGCCTCTGTGAGGATCCTTCCTGCCTCACTCACGGGGACTATTATGACAACCTCTCCTTGGCAAGCCCAAAGTGGGGAGATGAACCAGGAGCATCCCCCAGCGTCAGCCTGGGTGTAGGGAGTGGGTGGCCCAGTGCCTCAGGGAGTGACCCGCCACTGCCCATACGCTGCGGGGACCATCACCTGTATCAGCCGCAGGTCTCCCAGAGCTCCAGCAGGTCTTTTGAGAGTGGTCTTGGTAGCCAGGATGGTGGCCTTGGTGGCCGCAGCAGTGAGAAGCCAGCAGGCCTTTGGTCCACTGCCTCCTCCCAGCGGGTGAGCCCTGGCCTTCCTTCCCCAGGCCTGGAGAATGGTGCTCCAACACTAGGGCCTGCTCAGACCAGGACCCCTTCTGTTGCAGCATCCCTGGCTCTGAGCTGCCCTAGTCAAGGAGCCCTTCCAAGAACAAACTCAGGGCTGGGGAATGAGGTTTCAGGCATGATGTCCAAACCCACTGTAGTGTCTCAACCCTGGTTCCAGGATGGGCCCAAATCTTACCTTTCTAGTTCTGCCCTGTCATCTACTTCAGCTGGCATGGACAGTTCACAGCCAAGAGTGGTCTCTGGGCTGGAACCTAAGCCTGGCTGTACAGACCTTGGCAGTGGTGCCAAGCTCAGCTCCACCAGCCTTGTCCATCCATTGGTGTCCACTCCGCCTGAGTTATCTTGCAAAGAGGGTCCCTCTGGCTGGTCCCCTGATGGTGGCCTGGGACCTGTGCTCCCAGAGAGCCCCAGCTCTCCCAGGGTGAGATTGCCCTGCCAGACCCTCATCCCGGGCCCTGAACTCGGACCCTCAGCTGCCGAATTGAAGTTAGAAGCCCTCACCCAACGTCTGGAGCGAGAGATGGATGCTCACCCGAAGGCTGATTACTTTGGTGAGTTACAGGCTGGTGGAGTTGTCCATGGTGGGGTGATGGGTCCTGAGCTTGAGGGACATGCTCTCCACTAGAGATGCTGTAACTCTCCTTGAGTGGCTTGCCTTTTTTTTTTTTTTTTTGGGCTTTCTCTTTCAGCTGCTTTTCTGATTCAGAAACTGGAAAGCATCCCTGGGCAGAAAGCAGTTCTTGCAGCTGGGGGTTACCCATGTGTGAAGGGAGCAGCAGGGTGGTATTGCTCATGACTGCTCTCAAAAAAGGGAAATGCTGTAACTGGATTTCAAGGGTTTCTAGTATGATTTTAGAGCCTGTCTCCACACATCCCTGAGCGTTCAGTATGTATTTGGTCAGGCAGGTCTGGCTACCTGATGACCAGTGGTCAGGGCAAGGGTTCTCAACCACCGTGTGTGTGTGTGAGTGTAAATTCTTGTATGCAGTTGTGAGAGGTGAAACACTATCATGGAAGACGGTTATAGAGCAGTGGTTCTCAAAGCGTAGTCCC